GCCTTGAGACTATCACAAACACGAGCACGGGAGGCAGAGAGGAAATGTTCGGTTCTGTTAAACGAGAGGGACGCCCTCTCCAATTTACTGCTAGACGAGTCATTGAGATTGTTCGCCTATAAGCAATGGGTTAGATTGCTTGAGTTTCGAGTTTCCATCTTGGAAAGAGAACAAAGAACTGTGGATATGAAGAGTGATTCTAGCAGCATGAAACAGTATGCTGCTGTAGCATTTTGTTTGGCTATTGGTGGAATGGGTTTCGCGATTGGTTGCAGCTACATTTTCTAATTTGGTCTCCCTGCAGCAATCCTGTTCAGTTTTTTCATGCCACATATTGATCAATTAAACTGGATGCACAAAAGAAAAACTCACTGAGCTCCTACAAATGAATCTCATGGAGGTCAGCCCACGTAGGCCCCAATTTATTAAGAAATGGCCAAAAAAATGCCAACCCCACCACTGCGAATAGTCTGTAAAACATCTGTGAATTTTCTTTCTGTACCTACAGCTCGGTTCTTGCACACTTTCAGAAACTGTGCTAAAAATAGATACTAAATACAGAATAAGAGATGCTCTTATCTGACTTGCATTGTGCTAATTCAAAATCAATTAATCTAGTTGTACAAAACAAGTTGACAAAATAAGTGTTGAACGAATCTTAGTCTTTGATTTCAAATTATTTAAAAATGTACTTTCGAAATGATTGGTGTAGACGTTGCTTTGTAAACCAACTTTGTGAACTAATTTTGTACAAGTAGCATGACTCATTTTTAGTTTACAGGAAACTAAGCACATATACGAGAGCTCAAGCAAAGGTACTCAACCATGAATATATCAATCCACACTCGCATTTGCAAACAAGTTTATATACACTGTATGCACATCTTCATGCATTAGAAGACGTGTGCACTTGCAATTGGGCACAGAGTGAAAGAGGATTTCGGAAAAATAGTGTTAAAACTGCATGCTCGAAACATATTTACAGAAGCAACAACCTGGGTTTGTTCTACTCTTACTAGTTATGCGTATGCTATTATAGATATTAACACGGGAATATAAGCTGGCGAGTACGAAAGATAATGAACTACAGTAAATCACATGATGGCCCCGTGTACAGACCTGAGATGACCGTAGCAATCCTCACTGCTCACAGAAAACTCTAAACAGACCCAGCAAATGTGCCTCCCGCACCTACACTCGACATGATTGCACCCATCCACCTTCTCAATTGCGAAACCACAGCATGGGCACTTCTTCACGTTCTCTCTCCCGTTACACCATTCCTTCAACGAAGAATCAGGGTCGTCTTTAAACTCCTGGTACTTTTCGCATGTCACATATGGATGATACTCCATGTGGCACCGTGTACATGTCTCCACTAAACACGAACCACAGGCAAATAGTTCGCTTGAAGTACCACGATCTGCCACTCGATAAACTGATGGACAGTCAGGTGAAGGACAAAATCTATAAGCGCCCCCACTCCCTGCCACAAATGCACCCAGGGATGCCCTGAAAAGTTCCTCCAACTTCTCACTAGACAATAAAGACCTCAAGTCTGTAAGCAGAATCAGAGCCCCACAGCCGTTATGGGTACAGACTAAGGGGAAACTGTCTTGACTTCTTATTGCAGACTCGCACTGATCTACTAAGCATAACCGACAGAACTCGTGTGTACAACCTTCGAGCCTGTAACCATCTTCCACTTCACACAAGCAAATCGGACAGGCAGAATCGTCCTCATTTCCTTGACTTTGTAAACTAGTTTGTGCGATACCATGAATTATGCCTTCAACTTTTTGCTTCAATTCTTTGGTCCCAACCATAGATATGCAATGGCGCCTAGCATTTAAAGAGAACTCTGCTTCGGGAACCATTTCTTTAAGACCGTGAAGATCTGATCCAAAATTCTGAACTACTCTCTTCATCATATCAGGAGGTAGAAGTCCACCACGAAGCTGGATCTCAAGTTGCTTACTATCATGTAGCGCAAGAAGTGATTTGACAAGCCTCTGCTGTGCAACATCAATCTTGTCAGCAGATCCAAACACCCTGATAATTAGGCTATGCTTGTCAAATAGTATATAGGTTCCTGTATCTCGCTGAATTGATTTCAAAAGCATGACACCATCTCGTGAAAAGAGTTGCTGTATAACTGCTGGAGTAATATCAGCATTTTGCAAGATCTTCCCATTCATAAGCTGCTCCAGAGGTCGTCTCAATTCGACCAAAACTTTTGTAGCACTGGCAGATATCTTTACTCGATAAGAACCATTCTGGTTCCTCTCTAGGTTACATTCGGCACCTGCAAAAAAGCAAGTTCATCCACATCAGCTTGATTATTAATATTATATGACTTCGGCAGCAAGGGGAGACTAAGATAACCAAGCCACAAAAACAAAAATTAACCAGAAATGCCAATCCGCAACCGTATGAATTACATTCGCTTGCTATTAAGCCCTTATTTAATCCCCATTATTTCCAAAATACATTTTTTTCTCTCTTCTTTTCAACAACACATTCTTCAATAAAATAATATTACACGCAACCCAAAACTTTTCTTTATTTTTTATCCACACTTCTCCATCAATTTACTATTCCAAAATGCATTCTTCAATAAAATAGGGCTCAAACATGCTCTAAATATAGGCTAAGTGACCAAGATGTCTCTTCTATAGGAAGAGCACGCATCCTTGCTCTCCGTTTTCCTCCGGAAAATTGAAAATTGTAAGGATAAGATAAAACCAACCTCCACAATAAGATGTAAAAATAGGGCCCAACTAAGAAGGGTGACAATAATAAAGCCTATTCTATTTTAAGAGATAAATTTAAACTTCTGGAATGAACACCCTGCTCACCTGTGATAATATACCCACCCAGACCGAGGGAATAGAGTATAAAAGGACTCTCAAAATCATACCAGGGAATCAGTTCTATGACAAAGAGCAACAATTTAGCCAGCAGAACATTATCCCCTGTTTGGGCTCTATTATTTCAAAAAATACATTTTTCCAAAACGCATTTTCAACCACACATTCTCCTGTAAAATAATTTTACACACGTAAATCTAAAACTTTTTCTTATTTTTT